ATCACCTTGGTAGTTTAGAGCATAAAGAATAATCTTAATACAATATCTCTTCACTTGAACATATACCTGATACATATAATTGTAATAAAGAACATATTTCGAGAAGCTTATGCTGGCTTGCTCTTAAATACTCGTAATCATTTTCTTTCTACTCGCAGAATAGAATTCGCTATTGAGTCAACATAGAACCATTTACTCATCCAACACTTCCGTATCGGATTCAAATTACCGCTTATCGTGAGGCAACGGAAGATACAATTCCTTCTTGCTCAGATCAAAGTCTTGCTGTTACCAGTCCAAGTTATGCTTACATCAACAAACCAATTTCCGCAACTTCTATTATCTATGCTCTTGATCAGTCATCTATATATGCGTTCAAATTAGCGTGAAACCCATTTTAACATAGACAAACCACCCAATACAATACTGACTAAACACTCAAGGAAGAGCAAAGATGGAGAGATGGATCGCTGCTCTTGTGATATTTTTGGTAATTGCAAAAGTTTCGAAAATTTCCTAGCTCTATCTACTGAAGCATAATCATTTTCAGATGTCACTACAAGGATTGATTCTTAACATGATTGTGGCAATTTTTGCCAGTAAAGTGACCTCCCTGAAAAATGCATTCGGTCGGCTTTCTGTCAGCCAAGCTGCTGGGGAAGCTCTATTTTGTTCAATATACATTTTCTATTACACACCAATGGTCTTCTTGTGAGTGCTTCAGAATGTTGCTTTCAATGCTGAGTTTATCGTTAGCTTTACTATAAGACACATAACCAAAAATGTAAACTCATTTTTCATCTGATCAAATATAGTCTACTTCTTTGGGGAAACTGCATCACTATTTCTGCATATTTTCCAAATTCTTAACTCATCCTCTCTTTTCTATTCAGTGACATTTCTGTAATGGAAGACAATTCAAACTACGCCGGAGTTATTCTTAGCACTACTTATACCATATGCAGTCTATCCCACCTTCTCACTGCCTTAAATAGATTGTGTGCTATATGCGTACCAATGCGCTATGATACTATTTTCAGGTGAGTTTTATTGTTGTTTGGAGCATATGTCAAATTTAGACTGTTCAAACCTGATGTTGCTTACCCGATACCTACAGTTTATCCGGTTGAATGTTTTCTGAGCTTGACTTACTGATGAGCCTATCATGTTCCTGCAAAATACGGAAGGAAATTGAATGAGTAAAGTAAATGAGATCAAAACAGAATCTACGCGGTGCTTTGGAAAAGGCTCATTCCAAGGTCTAAAAATTTGTAGTAAATAACTAACTTGTTTGAGACCTACGCAAACTAAATGGCTTCTTTAGAGCCTAACGCGACTGCATTTTCGTTACTCAAAAAATTGTGTTTTTTATACTAGGTTGATGCATAAATCTTGAATCTACACTATACCCTCTGCTATGTATAACTCATGTAGTATTTTACCAATATAGTAAAAAACATGTTAGTACTATATCCTATACATGAGACCAAATCCAAATCAAAAATTCTTCGGAGATTCGAAATTTCAACTACAGAGACATTCATTCGCCACAAACTTCCTTTATTTAGGAAAAATATATTATAAAACTAAGATAAGAAATAAACTTGGATTTGGTTGGACCGTTTAGCGTTTCAAATAACCAAATTTTGCAGAAGCATAGATGCCTTTTTCTTTCATCAACTTATCTTTCCCATATGCTAACAGTGATTTTTGAACTTCTTCAAAAAGGTTTCCTTCTTTGATAACACATATAGAAGACGCCTCTGAAAAGAGTATTGTTGCTCTAAATTTTTAGTGAAAGATCTTGTCCGGAAACCTCTCCTCTCTTTATTTGGCTGGTATTCATAGGATGCGCTGGCAAAGTTTACACGGTTAACGAAACAAAACCCCTTCAGTGATAGGAGTCTCTGTTACCGATTGAAGAATCTCAAAGCTTTGTGCAAATCGAAACTATCCATTTGCTATCTCTCATCCAAAAAAACCCCGTAACTGTCGTTGGCAGCTCACCCCTTGAGCTCACCCTCGTATAGTGTCTACGCTGAGCCTGTGCAGTGCTTATACCGCTTTAAAGCAAGTACAAACAATATATATGAGCAGACTAAATGAGATATAATTGCTATAGATTGACAGTGTGGTGTTTGGTTACTTACCCTGCCATAAATGTGCTCAGAATCTCTTATACTCGCATAATGCTTAAAGTATTGGGTCAGTGCAAGTTCTCCTTTGGAAATGATTTATGTTGCACTTTGCTGATTTTGGAATCTTTTTTAAAAAATTTTTCGGAATTTTTAACTGCGAAAGAAGGACAGAAGAGATGTTTTTGTGATTATGCAGTGATTTCAGCATTCCAAACACCAATGTTATGGTGATTGTAACGTGGACGATAGCAGCACTCTCGACCATCTTCATAAACTTATACGGTTCGCATTTTGCTCATTTTGGATTATCCAGATCAAGTTCCTAAAGTAATTGCTTATTTGAGAAAATTCCCCAGCTTTTTAGCACGTGTAGCGTGCTGAAAACATCAGAGAGCTAATTCTTCGGAGCAAATCAGACTATATTATTCTGAACAAGGGCTAACAATTCGACCTGACTCCACAAAAAATGGAAGCTCCAATGTTTTAGCTGTAATTGTTTGTTTCATGAAAAAGTATAGGAAAAGTTTCGTGCATAGCATTTTTCGCTTGCAATGGTTATGCTCAGCAACAAATGAGTGAACACAAATTAGGCTCAAATTGCTTCCTTGAAAACTACAAGATTCAAGTCAGGAAGCATGTACAAGTCTTCCGCCTGCCCAAGGCGAAGATAGTGGGGAATGGCGCAATTTCAATAAGGAGTATGGCTATATTTTCCAACACACCTCTCAATCTTCACTTTTGCTGACCATATTAACGTTGTCTAGTAGCCTGGACCATATCGTTTCTACTAAATCTGAGCCTGATTTATCTCATTTTCTTGATAGAAATCAATCAAGCGCAACCATAAAAGCGAAATGTAAAAAATAGCTAGCCACTATTTTCACTGTTCGATTTTCTAGTGAAGAGTTTTGCTTTATGTAGGTGAAAAACAAGTAACCTAAATTGAATTTGAAACAGAGTCAAAATTGTGTGAAATTGACTCTCCTCAAAGGACCTCAATTATGAACCTCAGAATTGCTGAAACTTGGTGCATAGCAGTTATTCAAAATGCTAACTAAAAAAACACACTACTCAGTTCGTGTGATAAGGCCTCAAGGTAATAGTTGATATCTAAAGATGTGATCAAATCTTGCACGTTGGGTTTATCTCGCATGCCGCCAGGAGCAACTGATTTGTTACGCTCTGAGGTAGGTCTGATCCGAAGAGTATGCTCACAAATTTGACACGAATGTCGTATTCGCTTATCATTTCTAGAAATTTATTCATACTGCAAATCAAACCATTAATTGTCATACCAATGACTACTCGGACTATTTTGCTTCATATGCTACGTCTGGCGAACATCAAAATTTGCAACAGACTAATGAGTCTGGACTCTTCAAACTTCAACCTCAACGATGGAAAAACAGTGAAAGAACACTATCTTTGAACCGCTTTTGTTTGAAGGAGTTTTTGTTCTGAATCGGCTAGGCTTGTAGTGTTGCTAAGTTAGGTTAATCAGGTATTATGATTAATCTAAGACTTTTGATAGACATAAACTTTGTAACGTTATGAGGCTGCCTTTTGTCGTCGATAAATGTTGTATATACAGTTGACAAGATTTTCCGCTCAATACAGCGTGCTTACGGTAAAATTTTTGAGTGATTGCGTCTCTGTCGCGACCGAGCTCGAGTCCTCAAAACTGGACCGCAGGATCGTATTTCGCATGGATTCATGGCGAAACCCATAAGTTTTGCGTGGGTCCTCGCGCGAAACTAATATGTTGCTCCATGAATCCATACGTAATACGATCCTGGAGTCCAGTTTGGAGGCGCATACCTCAGCCGTTAGTGATTCACCTGAACTGCCCCTAGTGCAGAGCCTTAGTTGAGGCCCCAAAATCACTTTTCACATGTAAAGTTTCCATAAGTTCAGAAATGCCTGGACGTTGCCTTTATCCTTCCAAGAATTCTTCTACCTTAGGCACCATTTGTAGAGCTAGCATCAACTTAGGGTTACAGTATGGTGAGATCTACCGGACGCTCTTCATTACTGTAGATTACTGTTGAAAATTTCAGCGTAAGCGGTCAATTTGAATCACCCGTGTTTCGAAACAAAAATTCCAAAAAATCTAAAAAGTTGTGTACAAGGTATTCACACAGCCGATTTCATTACTCAGAAATGGTGTAATCAATTTAGAGAGCATTCTTGAAACAGCTATTGCCTTTTACTTGCCATAACTTACAAACGAAGCATTGCGGAAAAGCGCAAAATTAAGCGTCAGCGGCTCTGATTAACTCAGTGTAAAAGTTTTCGGGTTGTTTGAATTGCTTTTTGAAATGAGGCCCTTAATGACCAAAAACCCTCTTTGAGTTTCCTACCGCAGTTTTACAGTATGAAGAGCGAGCGTGATTCGCTCTGTACTAAGAATCTATGTTACGCCAGCCAAAAAAACAACATCAAGAACTGAGAGGAGAGATATCAACGATTAAGCAGTGTATTATTTTTGGGACACCCTGGAAGAAATATGGAATTTCCACTACATGAAGTTTGCGAAGTGAAGTGCATGAAGTTTCCACTACATGAAGTGTCTGCGAGACTATTCTGCTTTTCTGACAATAAAAAATGGCGTCACTTATTAGGTACACAAACTGGCTGTGAACAATGAGTATTCTAATACCTGATTAGCTCGCCGTTTTATTCATAGTCGAATTCTTTAACTGGATAAATAAAGAATCAGAGGTCATAGGAGGAAGAATGAAATGAAAATCTTGGATCTTCGGCTTTGAAGCCCAAAGTTTTCTGGGTCTTTTTGCAAGTCGAATGAACGAAGTAAAAAACCAATAGACGACCAGAGCTTCCAAATAATACATACAGTTTTACATGCCACAAAATAACAGGAAAGCTGATAAACTATGTGAGCAAGCTTATAAATGGCCATTAAGCATCTTACTGGATTATTTCAGCTGGTTGCTCATTCATGTACGTAGATGAAGTGTATACATTTGGTTTCATTACAAATGAGGTACCCTTTCTTCCTTTATAATGCTTAATCTTTTTATATTATTCAATCTTTTCAGCAAACATTTTGCTTCAAAGCACGTGATCTCTATTCATCCAAAGATTTTGCCATTCTCGCCGTAACGGGGCTGCTTGACTTGGCAACTGTAATGGCAGTGAGACGCACTGCAAAAGCAGTTAGTAATCAACAATTTTTAAAGATCCACATACAAGTTGTTTGTAAGTTCAGGCGAAAATTATGCGAGGCGAAGTATATGCGAAGCATTTAATGGAACTCAAGCTATTGAAGCAGGTGATCGTCCAGCTTCCGTATGAGTAGTCAATAGTGAAGTAGTATTGTTTCTGCAGGCTATAACCCAAGCTGCAGCTTTTGCGGTGCAAATCTTGTGCGTAGCATTTTTTGTCGCGGTGTTTGATAGCGAATGGACAGTATGGGCGTTTACGGCTGTTGCCTGGAATCTTTTGCACTTGATTGATCCGTAAGATTTTATTTCTAAAGGAACGTGATTATGCTCGCACAGCAGTCGTTTTGGGATGCATTGAGGTTGATTTTTGTTCAGCTTAAGATTTTAGAATTATCATCCTGGCATTCAACAAGGAATTCCGACGACTGATCCTCTCATCACCGAAGGTATCAGTTTCTGCATCTCTTGCACCTCTAGCATTGCAGAAGCTTTCGCAGTGATAAAAAAAACTTTTCCAGCCGTCCTCGACAAAGGATAGAACATCTCACATTGTCTTTCATACGCGACAAACCACCACGTTTTAGCATTCTACATGAACCGGATATCTGTAATGTCATTTTTTTAGTTACAAACCTCAGTTGGATGCTTGCTTGCTTATCATTAACACTATATTAGGTTGCCTTGTGTACTTGATTCTTTGTAGAATGGATTCAGATTCATTGTCAGCGCCATCTTGTTAAGCTTATTATGCTCTATTAAGTAATATGTTCTATGCATTTTCTTAAGAGATATTCCGGCGCGGCAACATGAGGATGCTGTTTACGATAGGACGATATGCGTTGTTTTTGCACTATCGTGATAGCGCTTACTTGGTACCTGTGCTGTTCTATATGGATTTGCGTTCATTAGTGATCCTAAATAAATGTTATCGCATCTTCTCTTCCGTATAGCTCTTAGCATCTCTCATGCCGACAAAATTAGAACAGCCTGCGCTTTCCCGAACTCCACTCTAACGGGCTTTCAGTTGATTACATTAGGGGCCACATAAGTTTTGCAACTTGTTCTTATAGCTTTTGTCTTATTTGAATGTGGCGCTTCCATTTTTTGGTATCATAGTGATTATCATGTGAGCAACGAATGCAATAATTTCTGCCGACATCATCGCATAAGTTACGGTAAGGCAATTACGTGGAAGACTTATTTTGCCACGAAAGAGTTGAGTTAAGAAAAATCTATGCGTTAAATCACAACTCTAACAAAAATCGAATATGATGGTCGTGTCATCATGTCAAATTGCCCCATTGTGCAAAGTTTGGGCAAAGTTCCGACGGTTCCGTCTCTTTGGCAATGATGGATTTCCGGGAAGATTCTTTGAAGTGTTCGACTCGTTCGAGCTCACCAGATCGGCAGTATACTTGGGTAATTCGATAATTTTTCATCGAATGAATGAATATCGAATAAATTCGAAAAGGAAAAATTTCGAATAAACGAATATCGAATAAATTCGGAAAATCAAAAATATCGAATGAATGAATTTCGAATAAATTCGGAAAATCAAAAATATCGAATGAATGAATATCGAATATATTCGAACATTGGAAGTCGAATTTCGAATAAATATTCGAATGATTTATCGAATAACTAAAGCAATCACATCTCAAACTTGCCGACATATCTGGCTAAAGTCCAATCATAATCAGCCCCCTAGTATCCCCTATACCAACTCCTAGCTCAAAATTTTCCAAAAACTGCTAAATAAAATAGATTTTGGTTTTGATCAGCACCCTCACCCCCCCCTTTTACCAACTCCTGTACTGAAAGTGCAGAATGCAGGGCATTTATCTTTTTAGTATGTTGTACACGCTAAACATTTGTGGTAAGCTGCCATTACATCTGAAGACATCTGTAACTGGCAAATCGCGTACGGCGATATAAACCGTCTAATCCTGCACTACAACTGCGATGTCCTTTACTCAATATATACCAATTCGCGAAAAACGCCAAGGTAACGAATAGGCAGTTTTACAATGATTTATGCGAGCAAGAGTGCTCACTAGTGTGGGCTTTGCGTACCGCAAGCATGAGCAATGCAAAGAAAGAAGAACAGCAATTTCAATTCAGTATGAACTCAGAACATGAGTTTGAATTTGATATCTTCTTTGCTGATTTGGTGCCAGTAGCAGTGCGAACAATCTCACTGTTCAAAAAAACATCAATTAAAATCCACATATGATTTTTTTACTGTCGCAAGCAGTCGGAAGAATGCGACTCTCCATACATAGTTCAAAGGTATACCGGTCGCAAAAGATGCATTACTGAGTTTTGCGAAAAAAAAACGCGGACGAAGTGAGCTTGATACTCAGCAGTCGGCTCTGCAACAAAGTCGAATAATCTGAATACGGAGTACATTCGAATACGAATTCGAATAAACATTCGAATAAAATCTATTCGAAACCCCGTTTTTTGATTATTCGAGTTTTCGAATAATATTCGAAACCTCGTTTTTTGATTATTCGAGTTTTCGAATAATATTCGAAACCTCGTTTTTTAATTATTCGAGTTTTCGAATTTTATTCGAAACCCTGTTTTTTGATTATTCGAGTTTCGAATTTTATTCGAAACCCCGTTTTTTCAATTATTCGAGTTTCGAATATTATTCGAAAATGGAAGAACTCCGAATATCGAATTTCGAATGCGAATATATTCGAATGTTTTATTCGAATGATCGAATTTCTATTCGATTCGGACCCAAGTATAATCGGCAGGATCAATTTGACCTTAATTTACAATATTTTTCCACTGGGCTCAGTAGCAACCTCTGAAAACATTTCGCCAACAGTTTCGGCTGAATTTGGTCATTTAATTTTTTGTACGTCTTCGTTTTTGCTAAAAAACATAAAATTTCGATTTTGACAGCTTGGAGAATTCTAGATTTTTTCCATTCCTTCAAAATAAAACACTTTGAGGATCTACACTTTCGATTCTACATAATACCAAATATTGAATGCATCTCATTCAAAGAGATAGAAGTTGTGGACAAAGTTGCAAAACTTATGTGCCATCCTGACATTAGGCTTTGCAAAGTCAATGAACTTTGCCGAGTTTGGAGACATGCACCTCAGACCTGCTAATTCGTTACGATTTTTGGCTCAATAGGCTATGTTATTCCTAGCTGGGCATTGCCAGCTAACTATTGTGATGCCATAAATATCGCAGATGTCCAAACAAAAGAGAGGAGATCCAAAAACGACTTTCTAAGGAACTTCTCTCTACTTTGATGTTCTATAACTCAAGCAAGTTAACATGACAGAAAACCAGCCCGACAGGTAGCTGGAAGCCAGGCTGCAAAAATAGGCAGACCAAGTTTTGTTTCAATTATTCAAAGATTTTAGGAAATTAGTATTGCCCACTTTTTCACCTTGTCCCTAGAGGGTCATAATTATACAAATCCAAGGTTTTGATGTCTTTGATCCACTATGCGCCAAAATTGCAGGAAAAAAGATGGTTGTCTTTACCATCACAGTAAAGCAATTTTTTGCTCTTACCTCGACATCCTATGAACTATAGTAGGTACAGTGACTGCGAGAACATTACCATGGTTTCATCTCTTATCCAAATCAAGTTTTCTGTGACACCTATTAGGTTGATGAGAAAAATAGTGTTCGTTCTCCTGGGCCTCTTTTTCGAACAACCAATCAAACTTTCTTTTCGGTATAGTTGAAGATCATTGAAGACAACGATTCTTCTTCGTACCCATAGCATTGCAGAAGCACGCGCAGGGTTGAATAATAATTGTTCAGCTGTCATTGTCAAAGCCTAGAGCATTTCGCATTGTCGTTTATACGCGACACACCAACACGTCCTGATTCTCTACTTACTATATTAACATCCGCATCCGTATTTTCTTTCGTTTATTCTTCGCTCCTCATTCGGATGATTGCTTGCCTAATGTTAGCACTATCATTGTCTCCCGGGTTGCTACGAGGGCGGTCGCGATGATCAGCCCATAGTCAATTTATTAGCTATGTTTCAACACTGAACAACCGCATCGCTGATACGCCCGTTCAACTCCGCCCTCGCGGCAATTTAGGAAGCAATGGTACATACTAGGTTGTTATCAAACCTTAGATGACTGGCACTGTCCAGGTCAACTGGGGCGTGGTGAGACCTTGATACGATGCGAGAGCGTTGCTCTCAGCAAACTCAACAGTTTAAGTGCGAGAGAAAAAGGTGGGTAGAAGCGAGAAATTTGCTTTGAGAAAAACGGCGGTTCTCTAAAACCTTGAAAACTTTCGACATGGCCAACATCTGCAGTATTCGCACGTCAAAATTTTTCAAAGAAACGGGGGAGCACCGCCCCTTTTTTCAAAGCAATATTATCGCTTTAGAATCCAACTTTGTCGATCGGACTTGAAAGTTTGTCAGGAGCCGCGCTCTCGTATTGAGATCCCACTATACTTCACTTAACCTAGACATCGCCTTCATGCCCGATTCGTGCATTTGACAGTGGCTCATTTCTCTGTTGCAGCAATTTTGGTTCACACAAACATCAATGTTAGAGTGTTTTGCGGCTCACATTTCTTTGTCTATTCAATTTATTCAATGCAATTGTCATTTGAAATAATAAGTGGCAAATTCATTCTAAGCACAATGAAAAACTACTATGATACAGTCACTGGGAGGCAACAATCATGGCTATGCTGAGAACTTTTTCACAATAAAGACTTGGAGATGAAAGCATTGGCAGTCATAGGATTGGCTAGAAGCACTTGAGGGCACACAATGGTGGTCGCACGATCGAAATTAGTCAAGTCTAAGGCCCCGGGATCTGCAGTATTCGCAATTTTATTTGACAATTGCGACTTCACGCAATTTGATCGTCGCGACTGAATCGCGACGAGACAACTGTTACAACACCATTCCATGCAGATCAACTTGCATTCGGTTGTGATACTTTTCCAGCCCGAAATTTTTGAATGTGAAATGAAAATGAATGGAAATCTTGGCGATTAGATCGCGACGATTAAGTCGCGTGAAGTCTGACCGGGGCCTAAGACACTAAAGTTTCATATAAGGTTGATCCATAAGGCGATGTTGGTTGTAGATGATGAGTAAAAGCGAGAAGATCAGTCCAATGAAGAGCATTAGGCACATAACGGCGAATACCAGGGACTTGTTTAAAGAAAGAAATAGTTGATGGCTATTTTCGACCTTTTCACTGTTATTGTTGTTGCAAATTGAAGGCATAATTCATCTTTATCTCTTTAATTCCTGTTTTCACCACAATTAACACAGCAAGAAAATCTTTAGCGATACAGCATATCCATTGCGTCCAAGTCTGCTAGAACCGTCAGTCAGAGTCCATAAAGGGTGGGATTTGGGAATTTTGATAAGGTAGTCCTCATGGCATTTCAGAACATTACAAAAATCTTTTTGTGGTGTTTGTCGTACGCTTAATCATAAAAGGAAATTCAAGTTCCTGCAGAAGAACGAGCGAAATTTGAAAACGGATTCTATTGATGAGCCAACCACAATAATCAGCAGCAGAGCCCGGCACGAGGGTGGCAAACGTCAAACCTGGAAATCATTCTAAATGGAAAGGCAGCTACAGCGCACAACTAGCTACATGGTATCAAAGATACTCAAACGGACACGGGTTAGGAGGAACAGATCACAAACATGGAAGAACTATATGACTGAAACATGAAGTTTTTGAGAATTTCCTGTTACTGAAGTTGAAAAATTGACTTGTTTGCAACGCAAAGGCAACAGCATGCTCCCGAATTCGATGCTCAAGCGTAGCAGGGCAAATGGACAAAGTATGAAGTTATGAGAAACTTTGTGAGTGAAAAGATGCTTAACCCCTTTCCAAACTGGGGTGGCAATTGCTGCTGTAACGCCTTCCATAGATGGTGAGACGTCCAGTTCAAACGATTTTTCACAACTCATGTACAAATTCACTCTACACCGCGTTTTTGTTCTTTTTTTCTGTTTTACACCACATGTTTGTATGGTGGCAGTTTGGATGCAAATACTTCCCTCTCCTCTTAAGTAGACCCTAAGTAGCAATGATTGGATTTTTGAGAAGGATAGCGCGCCGCAATTCAATGCCTGGGCAGCTGACGGAGAAGTGGAGAAAAGTAGGAACTGAAAGCAGAAGAGGAGAAGTCTAATTCGTATGTTGGGTTTTTATTTGGCATCCTCGTCTCAAACTGACCCGGAAGAATCGAAGAAGCAAGTCTGGTTTTTGTGAACCAGAATGAAGAAACGTACAGCCGCGATAAAACGCTCAAAGCCTGACGATTGACTCATGTGCTTCAGAGCAATTTAACATCAATGTAGGGCACACTTACCTTTTCGCAGATAGGCCAGAAACATTCTACGTAATAAACCTAGAGCCTCTGACCAAAATGAGACAAACCTTACCACGTCTTTACAGCGATCTAAAATTCTGCGGCAAATTATTGCTATAACAAGCGCCTTTCCTTTTCTTCATATATAGTTTCTCAGAACTGATAGGAAGCCTTTTTAGTCGGAGTAGCCTTTCCACTGACATCAAAATCACTTTATATAGCATTGAACAAGTTCAAGTCCTCCCTATCTGCCAAGTGCCTTTAGAGGCCGAGTTATGAGCTTTTTTAGGTCGAAAACAGAATGCGCAACTCAAACGAAGTCGTCCAGATGCTCAAATGGTCCAGTGTTGAGTATCAGAGCACATTATTCAAAGAATAGCTTTTGCCTGATACCTTCATAGTCAATACTGCTCTATTTGAGTGTAGAAAAAAATCGTAACCGTTGTTCTAGATTACGAGTTTATTTTTCGCTCCAATAAGTACTCGTAACTTGGCGTCCAAAGGATTTGCAGATTGAGAACGGATTTGGAACTAGCGTTTAATGCCCTTCAAAGCGTTTCAACTGAAAAGGCATTTCTTGCGGACGACACGGACGTTTTGTGCATTGGAGAACAGTTGCTCACTTTCCTGTGTGGCGATCGTAGAGTAGACTTTAGTTGCTCACACTTCTTTATTCATCGAAATTATTCAATGCAATTGTCATTTGAAATAATAAGTGGCAAATTCATTCTAAGCACAATGAAAAACTACTATGATACAGTCACTGGGAGGCAACAATCATGGCTATGCTGAGAACTTTTTCACAATAAAGACTTGGAGATGAAAGCATTTGCGGCAGTCATAGAATTGGCTAGAAGCACTTGTGGGCAGGCAACGATGGTCGCACGGTCAAAATTAATCGAGTCTAAGGCACTAATGTTTCATATAAGGTTGATCCATAAGGCGACGTTGTTTGTAGATGATAAGTGAAAGCGAGAAGATTAACCCGATGAAGAGAACTAGACACATCACGGCGAAGACCAAAAACTTGTCTGAAAAAAAAAAGAAGAAACTGATAGCTATTCCGAAATGCATAGAAGTCATTTGTTCCTTTTCATTGCCAGTATTGTTGCAAATCAAAAAAACGCAGCTTATCTTCATTTCTTTTGTTTCTGTAGTTTTTGATATAATTGTCATGTAAGAGCAAATTCAACAACACAGCAGTGTCTCATTTTTCCTTCACTGTCATGCATAGTTGAGGTTTTTCCGAACATAGGCCTGAGGTTGCAAAGTAGACAGTGTTATTTGCTAGACAAGCTGTTGGACAGCAAAGTCTCCATCCGCTGCAGAATAAAACTAGTGAATCCTCTTGAAAAAACTGACAATGATTTGGTTAGGGATCGAGCGTTTTGCAGAAAAACAAGGAGAAATACGAAACGGATCTTTTACAAGCCTTTAAATCGTCAAGGGCGGGCTTCAGGGCCTAAAGTTGGCACAAGGGGGTAAGTGGCTGTTTACGAATACATTATTTTTTTTCACTTATCTATCGATTTTATCGATTTTTTGCAAAGTTAAAGCTACGGGGCTAAAAGATGGCACGGAGGGGTAAGTGAGCATGCTGATCACGAAGACAAAACGTGGTAGGGGATTGACATAGAAGTGGGCACAGAGAGAGGTTGTACAGGAATAGGGCATATGTTTTATCATAGTGTTTTGACAAGGCCGGGCAGAGCCGTGTATGCCAGCTAATAACTGTAGGTTTGAACAACATTGAGGAGAGACAGATTACGGAAAATTATATAGAAGTTACGTGACCAAAATAGTTTGGCAATTTTTGAAAATTTTGAAAATTTCCTACTACCGGCAAGGGAAAAAGTTCGAGTTGCACTGGCCTCATTTAGGTGCTACCTGACGCTGATAACATTTCGCAAGTTCTAGAAGCGGATATGTTATCAGTGTTCGAAAGACCATAACGACGTACCATTTGATTTAACTGGCTTGGCCTCGGGAAGGCGAGGCTCCGTGACCTAATTAAGACCATGTAATGAATAGAGAGCGCTCGCGCGAGAAAGACGCAGATGCGTCGTGGGCGCGAGCGGCCTTAATTGATCACAAAGCCCCGCCTTGCCGAAGCCAAGCCAGTTGAATCAAAGGTTATATCTCCTTGCCGAACGCCTCTGCGACTCAGCATTTTTTACTCGTGGGCAAATGACTCAATTGCAATACAAGTTAACAGTATACCCCAAGTTTGGTATGTACATGCTCAATAGGGTGAACGAGCAAACTATGAAATTATGTGGAAAAATTTTGCGAATAAGAAGCGCGCTTAACTTTTTACCGAACTAGGGCGATCGTCACACTAATGCCTTTAGGAGCGGGGGGGGGGGGGGGGAGGGGCAAAACATTCAAATTCAAACGATTTTTCATGACTCTTCCACAGTTTCTTCCAAATCATTGCTTCCACAGTAACAATTTGATTGCTCAAAACTCTTCTTCTCCTTTTGGTTAGGATCGAAAAAAAGCAACAAGTGATTGGCCCTTGTGCAGAAGAATGCTTGAACGCCTGCGCACTAGCTGCGCTGAAGGGGAAATCGTAGAATATGATGGAAAAGGCTGATATGTACGATAGACCCCATCCCCTCCATGCTACTCGTACCACTAACTCAAAAGAAGTGAAGAAGAAGTGTGGTTTTTATGAGCCAGAATTAAATAGAGCGTACAATGCTTGTACAAGCACAATGTATTTCAAGCTTTTCATTTGTTCTAAGGCCCACGGCAACTTCACGCGATTTTAGTCGCTGCGCGATCTGGTACTACAACGACTCTTCATAACTGGTAGTAAACGTAGTTTGCTTGAGCCAGACTTGATGTATCTGCTACGGCTCATGAAGTCTAGTGCCCATGCATCTGAAACCCACGCATGCTGATCTACAAATATCTGGCAGATCTCCAAATCGCGTAAATGTGGCGATTTTGGGAAAGCGGGGGAAGTGTGCCTTAGGTCTAAGGAAGCACCTTAGCGACTTACTTGATGTAAAGCACGTCTGTGAAGCTCGGTCCTGATGTATAAGACGGGCCGCACTCTCATTCTCTTGCTCTGAACAAATTGTTATAAACCGAAATTATTGCGAGCAAATTATACCTTCGTTGTTGCCATCCTCCAAACCAAACACGATCAGCCCTCGCTCAGGTAGATCAAAATCAGCTACTGTGATTGGCTGTGTACGATTTCGCATAGCTGAATAGAACCAGCTTGAGTCAGCATCAAAGTTCAGCTAGAAGAATTGTCTGAATAGGCACCTGCACCATTGACGTTGCGTTTTATCAATCTTGTATAGGGATTTTGTGAAGACTCGTAGGAGGAAGCTGACATGGTTGAGTAACCCTGAATATATATGATTATACCTTTAGACTCCAGGTACATCAGCCAAAACTTACCTCTTCTGTCTCATTCGGATGTAAGTCGCTATATGTAGGTCGGATTCCAGGAGCACCTGCTGGTCTCGCTGACGTTGGACCCTTGGATGACTGCCATTAAAAGCGCTCATGCAGTTCTCATGAAAAATAAAATCAAAAGCGCTACCTTGCCATTTGGCGCTAACTTCAGAGCGGGTGGCTGAGGATAATGCATTTGTTCGGATTCATATCCAGGAGGGCCGGTTGAAGCATAGTAGTCTGGAATTCTCCAAAATTAAGTGTTTACACACAAAACTGCTTCGAAATCGCAACGTGAAAACAATGATTGATTATCATGACTTATGATAAGCCGCTCATTCTGAGGCTGTGTGGAGTTTGTCCGTTACGAAAATACAGTGAAAAGTGATTTACAATACTTCAAGCATGTGATATCTGACAGCGAGGATGGTTCGTTTGCAGCTAGGGGTCACTCGCTTCAGGCAACTTTGAAATGATGAGAGAAACAAGCTAATGGAGCTGATTTACTCTGTCTCGGGGAGAGTTTACGCTATTTGATCGTCGCGATTCAATCGCTATACGCTAAATGGTTGGAACATCCCAAGATTTTGTCAGGACAACATGCCTAATGCTACTCTTCATTCGAAGAGAGACTCCTGTTTCGAAGATCTCCTTGCAATTACATACCTGATGAGCCACCATTGTAGCCGTCGTCTGCAGGACGCGTCGGATAGCCTGACTCGTGGCTGCCAGTGTATTCCGAGGAAACTTCCGTGGTTTGCGCCGACGAGGTTACGTAAGTTTGTGTACACTGAGGTTGCTAAAAAGAAATAAAATGGACTTACTCCGGAAACTCTGATGGGAAAATTGAGATACTTCATTTAATTTATCAGATTTCTGGCAAGGCAACAACTGGAAGCTATAGATGTTCCTTCACCTATTTTGCATTTGTGCTTTCATTATGTATGTTATTCAAGTTTCTGCCATTGCACTCAAAAAATAAACTATTCGACTATATGTGCGTGCATTCGTGTCTATTCAATACATTCAAAGCCTTTGAAGTTATTTCTATGAACACTGAGGGCAAAGCTGGTCTTTTTACATGCAACTTTGACTTTCGAATAAGAGAAGCAAAGACTTGAAGTTGTCAATTTGAGCCCAAGTTTTCAAAGAGACCACTTAATTTGGAGAAATTTGGCTGTTCAGCGGAATAAAAACACGAACAAGTGAATGGCCAAGGGACAATAATCTCGCAGATATACAGGAAGGATAAACTGACAGAAGTTTTTCATCTTTGCTAGTCTCAAAATCCAAAATCACATACTCAGATGTGTGGTCACGCTCAGTTCTGAAGATTGAACTAATGTTCAGCTGCACCTCTAATTCTGAGAAAAACACACACAAAAAAGAGCCCACTCATTTTTTTGATATTTTTCCCTTTTTTTCAAAAAGAGTGAGGCTGCTATAAAGTACGAAGCTTATTGCTGAAGAAATATCTCATAGAATTGGCATAGTCAGTGGCATTCCGCTTCAGAAATGCCAGTCAGAATTTTAATTGGCAAAATGTGTCTGACCAAATCATAGTTCTGCACAGGTTGCATTTGAGAATTTTGAACAAAAGGTCCCCTTTTACATTGCAAAAAACTATGAAATAACTTTTGGAGCGTTTGTAGAATACGACTTAGAATCTGTAGCAAAGATGAGTGGATGAAGTAAGAAAAGTCAAGGAAGAGATAAAATAACTAAAGGAGAAAAAAGACGGCTTTTTTATCACCAAGGGGTAACAGAGCAGAGAGGAGGAATCCTGGATCGGAGTACAGGTAGAGCATGAACTAAAGATATTGTGTAGATACATCCGAAAAGTTATGTGAGGATATCTCAGAGTGCTCGTTGCGCAAGAGCAGCCTATACAGACCTTACTACTTTCATTCAGTGGTTTTTTTCCTTAATTTTTCGTATTTTCTCTTGATCATCGTCGCAAAGGTTTACACCAGGTTTGACGGCCCAACAATTCGTAAGCATTTCCGAGATTCATTCCTAAAATCTTTACGGGTTCCTTTTTGCTTCCTCACCTGCACCATCCGGTCGTGGAACATATCGTCTTCCCTGTAGCGATTGTGTAAATTTTTGTTCAAAAGAAAACAGATTTGAATCCGAAGTGCTATCACAGCACTTCTCCGCCAAGTGATTACATTATGATTAGTTTGTAAGATTACAGAAAAGGCACGGCACAGGTAGCTTACAAGCAAGCTGGATTCGTTTTTGGGACAAAAAGCAAAGAGGATATCGTTCTTGTGGTCGAAGAAATACAGCTTAGGTTACGTTTTTTAGTCGACGTTTTTTTGGGTTTTGTCTAAGGTTTAGGGTTAAAGGGAACTTGATGAACTTTCGCGAGAGTTAAGGAGGTCTTTATTCGCATTTTCGGTAGGCCACCTCGTCCGAGCTCTGATCATAGACATTGCTTTAGGGAGCCTTGATTTCCAGTGCAGCTTGTCTGAGTGAAAAATGTATTCATTGCAGAAAATAGGAGCCAGTCATTATGATAGATAAAAATAATTCAAATGATTCTCGAGACATTCCTGTGTGATAACTAGTATGTTATTCAAGCTTTGATTCATAGATTGAAGATTCTCTTGAATTTGATTTAGTTTGCAACGCGATTTTTTCAAGACTTCCAAGACCTAAGGTTATGAAAAAACGATGGATAAACTTACAGCGGTAGAACAACCATATTGTTTGTCTTTTATGGTCAACTGAATCTGGCAATTGAAGTATAGACCTGCTTTGTCAGCGAATTTGAAAACCTGAGATTTCATTTGTTAAGTTTATTCCTGCTATTCTGTGGATCCTACCTGTGCAGCTTTACCAGCCGTCAAATCAGAAGTGTAGTCTAAATTTTGAAGGATCACGCCATCAACGGAGCAGCTTGAATTTTCATTATGTTGCTTTCAGGGCATATAGCGTTTGAAGTTTTTCATACCCGTTTGCATCCAAAACCGTAACCGGAGGTCCACCCTGCCCATCGTACACAGTGCACGAGTGAACCCGCATGCAGTACACATCGGTCAGCTCGGAGACGCAGGTCCATTTGTGGTAAACAGTTTCTCCGATTTTGCCATACTTAATGGGAACCCCGTTTGGGCCATCGGATAGGATTTCGTACCTAAAATAAATAGTCGCTGCTCATGTTGCTATTTGACAAGAAGACGGGTGAATGGCCTTGGGCAATAGTAGGTAGATGCCTGCGCTTCAGGATGCCTAATTAGAGGAGCCTTAATGCTTACAAAAAAAGAGAAATCACCTTGCAAGAGTTGATCACATAAATTTTTTTACTGACGGATCTCAAAGCACATAAATTCTCACGTTCAACGGCACCGCGTCAATTTAACCATCAAGAATGGTGAAAAACTCATGAAAATGAAGCCAAAAAGATGGATACGATTCAGAGTATGGTCATCGCAAATTCCACTTTATGAAATTATGTGGCGCTACTTTCCAGCATTTATCAACCTTCTGTACAGTGGGTGAGAAAATGCAAAATGGTCGCACTCTACGCCGGAATTTAAAAATTCAAGTAGCGCTAAGGCCGTAAAAGGAACCTAATCCATACTAAAGCAATCTGAAAGATTTGATAAAAATTACTACCATCCAATCAGTGTAAGTAGAATGTGCTTATTCCGATTTGATCCCTTGCCAAACATACCTACAGACCGGGAGTTGTGTTTGACCTTCGACTGCCTGCGTCGTCAGAGACCTGAAAAATCATGGTTATGAATCGTACACTTCATCATCTAATATTCAGAAAGAGTCGTTTCGCTTCAATGCTGCAATCAAATTCAAAGGGAGCTGCCTGTATTCAAAAATTGCAAGGTTTTCTCTTTTAGATCACATGTCGAAGTTAGTCGTAGAAATTGTTAACGAAATTTGTAAGTCATAAAATAAGCAGTTCGATCGAGAGGCACCACTTTTACCAAGTCTGAAGACCTTGAAAGTTGGAAATTTTTCGTTACAGAGGTCTAGACTTTTCCAACAATTTTTCACAAAAGATTGTAAATGAGAGCTGAATAAAGAATTCTTTGAAACAAGAGACTGACAGTCGTAAATACTAAGCAGATGTTCGTTTTTACTTACAAAAGAAGAAGACTTGGTCGAACTGATGTTTTCATAAAAAATATATGCTGTCTTTTAGAGCAAGGAACGCTGCAAATCTGTCTTCGATTTCTGCAAAGCGCTTCTGGTAGGAGAGATATGGGAATTCTTTGAAGCAAAAGTCTAAGCGAGTGGCTACAATGATATCATTCAAAATAGTTTGTGAGCTCATGGTGCCATGATGATTATAGCAAATAATACCTTAAAAGTAAAACTCATGCTATCGTAATAGTACTCCTTTCAAGCACCGGAAAGACCTCAACACTCATTTTTACCTTGAATAAAGCTTTGAATTACCTAAAAAATTCCCATATCTCCTCTCTCAGGAGCTTTGCAGGACGAAATCGGATTTGGAATCAGCGTTTCTTGCTCTTCAAAAGTAAGCATCTCATATGGAAACGCCACTTCGACCAGTACCTTCCCTTTGCTAAATCCAATCTTCCACTCCAAGGATGCAAGCACGGTTTGACCAGTAACTGAGCAGTGCAAATACAATTAGAAATTTGAAGCTATATATGTAGATGGACTCATAGTCAGGTTGTCTGAGCTGAAGCTTCACGAGAAAGTACGTACTAAAAACTAGTCCACAACTTGCGGTAAAGCCTTTCTTCGTTGCAGAAGTGACTTTTTCTAAACTCAGTACGTTCTCCTTTTTCAGCATCTTCGGAGCGATATGTAAAAATTGGCATACTTGAGTATCGCAGTACGAAGAATTCTGAGGATGGGACAAAGAGCTTCTCTAAATTATTTGGCGTGCCACACGCTATGGAAACTTTCTGGAATGGTTATCAAACTTTTGGCCTGCTTCAGCCTCGGCCCCTATCTCAAAGAAGAACCTTATACAATGCTAAATTGAATTATATGGGCACATAGAAACAATAACAGTGGCGAGCTTTGGCGATAAGAGAGCATAAGATATTGCCAACAGTACATCATTCAAATGTTAGTCATTTGCCATAGCTTTTAGAAAAGCCAAAGCTACGGTTACGGTCACAATGCGAGGCGTCTTTGCTTTTTTTGAATCAATAGAGTATTTGTACGCAAAACTAACGTCCGTTCATGACTTTTATAACCATTTATACGTTTACATACTCGAACTCGGACACATGAAAAGAAAAAGAAGGGTGCGTTTAGAGGAACAGTGGGATAGCCATAACATGCGCTATGAGATATGTTTTTCATAAAGTTCGTAAATAATAGACACTCAAAAAGTATCGACATGACACTGCTGACTTGGCACATTTATAATTTGTCGTGGTGACTATAAAGATATACTCATAATAATTCCAACATTAACTTGACTTTCATACTCGCCAGCTAGCTCCACCAGTGATGGCCAGGGCTCGACACAGGTGACTTGGTGAGCAAGCTGGATATCATTTTTTGGACAAAAAACAAAGGGGGTTTCGCTTTTGTGGCCAAAAGACATAAAATTTGCGACGATTTTGTTTTAGGTCGATGTTTCGTGTTTTTTTTTGAAGATTTTTTGTGATTAGGTTTAGTGTCAAAGGGGACTTCGTCAAATTTTGAGAAGGTCAAAGGAGACTTCGTTTTTTGCATTTTCCAAAAACCACCTCGTGTCGAGCCCTCGTGATGGCATTGTTTAGCTTCGTCCACAAGTCTTGAAAGGAATTTTTGAAGGCCCTAAGTTTTTCCATTTTCAAAGAAATTGTTCTCAGTACACATTAAGAGAGAATCCCATAAACTTTTAGTGCTTACAAATCGATATGCACGTCGCTGCCATGCAAGCTGATAAAGAGAAACACTCAGATCTTAGTTAATCAAATACAAACCCGATAATATGCAATTTTGGGTTTGGTCATGTTTGTAGAACCTGCTTTTATCAAAAAAGAGGACGTGATTGTCCCGTGTTTCTAGGCTTAGTTAATATTTCAATTTTCTAACATTAATTGTTGAATGTTATTCGAAACTAAGACAAAATATTTTCTAGATAGAGCAAACTGGTGTGGTACGAAATCAAACGTTTCTTCATACAAATTTAAAAAGAAATTTTTAGCTTATGATGGAAAACTTAACTAACATGATCTAAAACTTGGTCATTGTCACCTGAGCAGCCAACTTTCATACCATACACATTAACATAACCAAGTGCGAGATTCTTAAGGTGCGTAGTGTCACCGCAGTAAGTGTCACAATTTCAGTGGAATTCCATTCTAGAGCTGCTTATTCTGAACAGAAATCGCTAGCCTGCTTTTTATGTTCTGTGGTAGTCCTCGTCATCGCCTACGGCCAAATAACCAGTTTGCTTAGATTCACGCGAAAGTGGTCCGGCGGCCTTCTTGTCAGAGTCTGACCTCTACTAGCCTGCTCGTATTTGTCGCTGTTTTCGAGTGAGTATGCGGAAGCGAGTCCACAAATTTCATACAACAGGTTTTCAAAAGAAACAATATCCACGAGCGCACCAGACAGCATATTTGTTCTCCCAGATGCTGTAAACGCCCTTGAAACGAGACACCTCGCTAAGGTTAGTCGACGTAAATTACCCTACAGGTAATGAGATCAGCGAAATTCAAATGAAAAACTCCGTACACAATTATTGTAAGAGGTGAATGAGGTTGGGAAGGTCTGGAGCCGGTTTTTTGGAGAAAATGTTAAGTCGGATCGCTGCAGCAGATGGTCTTTACTTGATCAGAACTCACGCCACATCAAGCTGTTGCTGAACTCGCTTGGCTCCTTCCACGTAGAAACAGCTCAAGCGATAAGCTCTGTCAACCCGAGTGATGAAAATCTGGAAAGATGAAGTGACAGCAGCGAGCAGCTACGGCGAAGTTAGTTTTTGAAACCATGGGAAATCTCTTCCAGATAAAAGAAGTTCCCCTTGGTCGCTGTATGGGCGCAAGTCTTTACAAGCTGAATGACAAAAAGCATAACCAACCGAATGGAAGGACACTATCACTGTTGTGATGATAACAACGCCATTGACCTGCAAATAAGAAAATTTGATTGGAGTTTCATACACACCTACGAGTTTCATGGAGTCATTATTTCCTCAGAGTAATGCTTTGATTCCTGCGTACGCCAGCATATTTTAAACACCATGGTTTCACGAGTACAAGACGCATTTCATTTATTAAGCAAGCAGCCCGGCCGCACCACAATCCTCTCGAAATGGTAGCTCTTCCCCACAATTCAGTAAGGAGCAGACTGTGGGCCCTTTGGCTTGAAGATTTTATTGTGTTTCAGGCTGGTCGGATTTTGAAAGAAAAAATTGGATGCATTTTGTACTCGTATAATTTTAGTGACTAGTGTTAGTTTTTTCACAGCTTTTGCATTCAAAAATGTACTTTGCTATAGCTCCCATTACTGTTTTATAAATTCGAGTGTTATGTAAGTAATGGCAAAAGGAAACATTCAAAAACATCTCTTGTAAGGTAATTTGTCCTCACGCTACTCATTCGGCGTTTATATCAGTTCTCGAATTGGCAGCTTGACAGTCAGACAAAACTATCGGATTTGTTTGATTATTCAAAGAGATCAACACAGCTGTTGGAATCTTCGATACGATGTCTTCAAGTTTAGATAGCATAATCCTTTGTACCCCTGTCAAATCCAGATCAAGTAGATCCCTACCTCCCTTTGTCGTCGAACTCCACAAGAGTCATGCTTCACAGTGAACCGATGGCTAGTTTTACTATCTCCCATCATCACACATTCTCCATCAGCGACATATCCCTGAAGAACTTGAATGTATACAGCCACAATCTCCAGCTTGCTTCCAATCGTCGACATCCACGTTTGCGCAGATTTTCTTGTGTAGCGTTTGCGAAAAGAACATGCATTCGTGTAATGGGTTTGTAAAGAAGAAGAAGTGAAATCTGCACATGAAAGGGCGAGAGCGCCAAAGCTTTATTGCCGTGTTTTTGGATAAATGAGCTTTCTTCACATAATGCTCGCGTAGTGTGCGTAAAGCCTGTCATTTCACGGGTCGCTGGCTTGAACTCTTGGGTTGGTTGAGCAGCATGACAGCTTACCTACCGTAGCAAGTCATAAACAGAGAAGAGGCAAAGAAAAGCAAACTGATCGTTACTTAAAAAAATTAGCAGTCTGAATTATCATGGCAGAATCTAAACAGATTTTTGACAGCATGTGTAATTCATACGAAGATGGACCAAGAGAATGCAAATACGTCTACGTAAAATAACGATTTATTTAATATAGAAGTCTATCCAGGTAGGGCATAAAGATACTATCCGATAAGATTGTTCTACTTTCTGTTCTAGAGGGTGGTCTAGATAAAAACTCAAGCAAAAAAATGCCTTTAACTCCGCACAGAACAATTCGAATTGAAAACAAAACTTTATCTGATAGCTATGACTTTTGCATAGGTCCTATTGATCAAGGTTGAAAAATCTGCTTTTGACCTGGATACATTCATTTAATCACTTTCGCAAATATTCTAGGATGTGCGCTGCCATTTTCGGTATGTTTCCTTCAACGGATTTTCCTTATCTGAAAAGGGCACACGAGCACTTTCTAGCAGCGCTTGAATCAAAAAAAGTTTTGCGTTTATCTTATAAGGAGAGGATACTTTGCCGAAAGCACCAATCCAGATGAGACATATACCATCTCAAAGCACTTGGAACGCTGATTCCAAATCTGTAGTTTCTAGCTGCGAAGCGGTTTTGTAGAAGGAGTTATGTTGTTGTTTCCCTCTAGGGTTGAGGCGCCCTTCATCAGGTCTCCACCTATCTATGAGCACTGTAGAGGAGTACCAACCGGTGGAAACTGGCATAGTGGTAAGTAAATTAAATGAAGATAAGAATGAGGATTATAATACTCTTTGGTCTCTTTTAACACTTCTAAGCATCAGTATCATCAGAAATTTCAGGCTTTAGGGTTTTAAAGCCACTTAGAAGCTTAATTTTGCAAAAATTGGGATAAAGTTGCATGCGAAAGGATTAAAACCTTGACACTTTCCTTATCAAGCGAGCCACTTACCACTAAGCGAGGTACCACCAATCGGTATTCCTCTACAGTACTCATAGATAGGGGAAGACCTGCTGAAGGGCGCCTCAAAGGAAAGCGCCCCTCACAACTCCTTCTACAAAACCTTTCCGCAGCCAGAAACTATATGGAATCAGCGTTTCAAGCACTATAAAATGATGTCTCATCTGGATTGCTGCGTTCGATCAGGTATTCTCTCCCTGTTAGACCTTGGCAAATGAACAAAGAACACTTGACTTTTGCATTTTCCTAAGAAGCTCTTCAACACTACTCGCCTTCTTCGATTCTAAGAAGCTCTTCAACATTACTCGCCTTCTTCGAGAGTAAAACAGCAGTAGGAAGGACAACTATCGAGAAAAAGATCCATTGCGAAGCAGATAAGAGGACAATGGAATATTAATAGATGATTTTTTTTTGAAAGCCTGTAACAACACTTCGTGTTGGACCCCCTATATTTTCAATTGGTCGACTGCAAGTGGTGGAGGGTAGAGGTGCCTCAAGCTTATGAAGCGCACTCTATTTTACTACTGAAATTCTTTCAATATCTTAAAAACTATTGCCAGATTTTTGATGAGGAGCTGAAATTTGTGAGTTCGCATATGGAAGTGTTGTTGAAGGACTCGAACACGATGCAGATTAGTTCAAACATAAACTTTTCGATACTTAGTCCAAAAATAGTAGAGTGCATTCGATGTCTTCGATCATGAAACTTCTTTCCAATTGGACTCTTCATGGCGATTTAAAACAACGAAAGAGGCCAGTCCATGAGTTTTACAAGAATGCGAACGAAATCGAGTCGCAGTCACAGCACTTTCGTCAGAACTCCGTGACTGCTAAGCAATTGAGCGAGCAATTACCTGACTAGAAGTTTTCGAAGTATTGCTACAGAGTGTTTGAATCTCGATGACAACACGCATTAGCGCGATTCGCAAAGAAATTCCAGCTTCGAAGTCTACAAAGAGGCAAGGCCGTTTGGCTTACCTTCACAAAGACTTTGCCGGTGAACGGATTTCGCGAATTGAAGAGCAGCGAAATTGAGTCGGATCCGCACTGCACCTCGGGTTCGCCTGGAAAAGTAACATTTTTCAACACTTGCGTCGTCTATGTCATCTCCAGCGGACCGTACCGAGGGACTGCCTCGAACTCAGCCATTATTTCGCTTCAAATGCGGTCGGCATTTTGGGCAAGGCCGAGAAGCCCGGAAAGAGCCGCTCATGCCTCATGCAACCCCGTGAACCGGACATCCTATTCTTTTTACCGAGTACATTTACCGTAGTGGTTATGGGCGAGATGAATTGTTATAACTAGCATTTCTCTCAGTTTTCCTCTTCCCTTAGCGCCTCATTGATGACGAATGTGTGCAGTAAAAAAGTCTCAACGTGAAGTCAGTCAGATTATGTTTTATCGAGTTACGCAATACAATTCGGTGTGAATCGTGCAACATACTGCGCATAACTGGTCCATATTAGCACACTCGAGAGTAATAGGAAAGCAAAAGCAACTTCTGGTTAGGCTTGGACTTCAAGTCAAATTTTTTTGGATCTAATTTTACTTTTAGGTATTTAGGTGCTTATGTCCAGATCCGCATTTTCGCAATACTTTAGTGCTTGCGAAAAAACTTTTTTAAAATCATTATTTTCTTGAAACTTTACAACTCGTTGGTCGCGCAACAGGGCTGATGCCTACAGCTTACCAAGACACAAATTGTTCATTGTATAAACTTTCAGAAGTGCAGTGATAAGGGCAGCCAAGAGATTTTTCCTGAGACTCCTTTTTATACTTGAGAGCTACAAAGTACAGTAATTAAGCTTGAAATTGTCAACGTTAACTTTCTTTTCGAAGTTTGAGAAGAAAGCGGTGTCTCAAGATCAAATTGAGTTTAATTTTTTGCAGCTAAGCCAGCTAGAGATTTTAATAGGATAAACGTCACATAAAGGATTTTTTCTACACTTTCAGCAACCATATCGCTAATTCGAATTTTAGTAAAGCGCTAAACTGTACCATTAAGGTCTTGTCAAAGTCCATTTCGACATGGCTGTTGCAGACTAGATAAAGTGAAGCCCCTCCACCCTCCTCCAAACATTCAGGTGATTTGAGGCGTGCATAAGCCGTTACGAATATTCTTCAAGCTAACAAGCATAATTTACCCGTAGCTTTTCAGATCTTAAAGATCCACATAAGATTAATTTCTGAATCTACGTTTACTGCTAAGGATTAATAGCTAAGGCACATTTCGTACATATCAGTACACTTAATCACTGAAAATGTATTAGAAGAATATATGCATGACCGGTGTAACTATACAACGACGCCTCAACTCGTGGGTAACTAGCCGCTGAGAGCACTTGACGAGCTTTTCGTCGAGAAAGAGTAAGAGGCTACGTCTCTGACTTCCCCATGGACAAATCAGAGAGCTTAGCAAAAACGGTAAGGGGTGTTCCTATTCAGTAAAGAAGTGATAAGTACTTACCTATAACTCCATTGTCGATTTCCACTGCCATGTGAGCACCCACAACCAAGATACAGGACATAGCAGCTATCCAGGGTGCTAAGCTTGCCATTTGTCTGAAAATTTTGAACAAAGTGATTAGCCGCATAATTCTTGCTGAGAAATACCGAATAACTAGAGAAAACTGAGTACAGAGCTCCATAAGATTGAAAGGTAACGGAGTTCTGTTTGGAGCCCTAGCTTTCTTGAAAAGACACAAGCTCGAGACAGGAAAATCCAAACTTTCTTTCAATGACCTTTGCGCACCGGACATTATAGAAATAGCTACGAAAAATAAAAAAAGGGATTAATGAGCCCGAGGAAAGATAGAGCGTACTCAGTCAGGGAGAGTTCAAAAGAACAGCTAGCAGATCTGGTTATTGCCTTGCGGGCGTTGCGCAATTCCCGGTACGGGGGCGGGGGCGCGCACCTCGCGTGTGAGTCCCGTCGAAGGCCCGCTGTCGAAGCCGTGAAGCTCTTATAAGGCGTTTGTGTCCAAGCGCTATTATTGTAGCTAAACTGCGCATTGGGTCGTTAGCCATTGCCATCAGGTAGAAGTGGCATTTGGGGGGAATCCATGGCATTCAACGTGATTTCCAAAACCGTTCACGGTTAGTACGACTTTCAAGAACTCGTACAATGAGCAGCACGTTTCTTTGATGCATCTTCTTTTGGTTATGGCTTATGCGTAGCTTTTTTCAACTTCAAACGTTACTGTCATGAATATCGAAGGCCAGTCAATGCACCGATTCACATGCAGTCAAACATAAGTTCCACATGATCAGCTTTCTTCTTCTGAGCTACGCCTTGTGACTTAGTTCTTCCGCCATGACAATATAGCCAGTACTAGGTGTCTATTCGAACAAATCCTTGGCAGAAAAAAGAATCGTTTGCGGTGCCTTTGAAACGGTAGCAGTACGTTTTGATTTAATCAATTTTTACACGTTCTGGAGCTAAGATTTTTAAATTTTTTAGCGTGTTACTGACTATTGCTAGGTGCAATTTAAAGAAATTGTTCATGAGAAGAGCCTTAAGCACAAAATATAGTTCGAGAACGAACTGTAAGTACTTTCAATTTCTTGTCTTCCCCTCAGCGAGTCAAAATTCACTTTCGCAGTTTTCGTTTCTGTTGTGAAAAAAAGAGGAGAAGGCTGACCAGCTCAGTAGGAATTTCTGTTTGTATTCACTGATACCAGTGGTTTCGAGGGGAAGGAGAAGTGAGGGGGAGAACCATTCCTGGGGGGAGCGGCGCCCCTTTCCCCCAAGAATGGGTCGTGAAATATCTGAATACAGGGTGTTTGAAAAGTTCGTGTCCTTAAGCACTTCAACTGCGAACGTTAACTCGACTTTTGCTATGTGTGTTCGCCAAACCTAGAAACCACTGAATCAACAAAGAGAAATATTTTTTGCCTCAAGATACCCTAGAAAATTTGGAAGTAAACAATTTTTTCAGCTTTCTTGGGGAGTGCATTATCTGACTTGTCCTTTTTTTTCAACGCCGGAAAAAGGAAAAGCTTGTGGTTTTTTTTGCTACAAATAGTCCTAGACTTACACTTTCTTTATATAATCAAAGTTCTTCAATAGCTCGCTAACGAAGATTTTTTTATGTGCTGAATCACAGCAGACAGTTGCGGCACCAGTTTGCGTTGAAATTTTTTTCAGTTTGAAAAAGTTTGGAGATCTTATTTCAACATGTATTTGTAGCACAACTCTCTGACCTTCGTTATACTTTTTTTTTAAATTTTGCACGCTTGCAAAAGTTTTGAAGATGAAATATAAAAATTTCGGGGTTGGACTTTTTGACGAAAAATTAGTAAAAGTGGAATTCCTGTCTTTCAAGGCACGATATTTCAAAACGAACTCATTTCGATAAAAGTAAAAGAACATTTAAGAAATCTCAAAGAAAGGGGTTTCAGTTGATATAAAAGTTTTCTGTGAATTATGTTTCCTTTTTTGTAACAAGCGTTTTAAGGAAAGAGGTTTGGAAAGCCATACGGATGTGGTTCAATCTAATAAAAAATCAAAGAAACCGCGAAGAAACTTGATTTCACTGAAATAATGGTGTTTAGGTCTGATGAGCACTATAAAACAAAAAGCGTGTCAAAATTCGAATTGAAAGTACTTTAGGACACAAACTTTTCAAACACCCTGTACTTACATGAGTTAAAAAATGGTCATAAAAATGTGCAAGTGACTAGTTTGTACTCGGAAATATATGAGATAATTTTTCAAATTCCTAAGGGCTCAAATTAGCCATGTAAAAAAATTTTCGGCGGTTCAGGGCATGGGCCTGCAAATTGAAAAGCGCCCCAGAAAATTTTAGGAGTGCGCGGCTAACTCCACGTAGCTTTATCGAAAAAATTTGGTCCCCCTCCCCTCCCCGAACAAAAATTCCGAAACCGTCGCTGCCTAAACATCAATGATATGTACTCTAACCCGCGGCTTGGCAGACTGTTCGCTAGCACAAAAATACAAGAAATGACCATAAAGGTAATCAGGATGTATGTGTCAGGGAGTAAAACCCAGGTTAGGCGCTTATTAGTACATATTCTTGAAAAGGTAAGGCGGAAGTGCGATATCAAGCAAGTTGTAAATGTATAGGCAAAAAAATAACTATGTTCTGGTCTATCAAATTTAGTAGCTCTTACAAATAGATGCAAACTGTAGATCAATCCATACAAGCATCCTGACCAGAAAGGCTTGAGCTAATCTAAACAGGAAATGTTATTTTTACACTTACCGAGACTTTTATTTGAAACAAAATCTAACAATAAGTATCCTTCCAAAAGCTCGAATCTGTAGAAACGCGCGATCAGCGATTTCTTTTTAGAAAAGAGCAGGATATAAAATCATGATCAAGATCATAATAAGAATTCTGGATTGTTTAGCATTCTTAACAACTTCAAGAAAGTCTTATAAAGATTCTCTTTACCAATTTGTATAGTAGCTGTGCCAATAACGAATGCAAATTGAGCACTAATACGTGCTTTTCACTTCGAAGATATATCGGATTAGCCGATTTCCGGTATTTGGATGCAAGACCAACTTAATACTGAAAGCACAAAAAAAATTTGTTCTTGGCAAAAAGTCCTTCTTGTGGAGGTATATGCTAGATAGATCATGCAGCGTTTATCATCTCATCATGTGTCAGAGAAAGTACATTTAAATGCGCTAAACGAAGTGCTTAAGCCATCAGCGGAGAAATCTGGCATAATGGGCATGTGCGAGTCAAGTGCATCAACGACGGGTGAGTGCGATACCGATGCTTAGTGAAACCTAAACTTGTGGTCACCCGTCCTAAACGTCACCGGAAAATTTATGAGATTTTTTTGCTTGAGTTCTACGGCTCCTCTCTCACTAACCTGAATGCCTCGCTTTTGCATTCTAATCAATCTTGTTTCGTAAGCTTCAGCATCATGGAACATGCTGGGCACTACAAAAGCACATAGCCGTTACTGCTGTCACCTTACAAGCAGGTGACCAATTGCCGATAATGCTAATTAAATGTGATGTAATGCTGATTTAACGGCCAAGGAGTTTTTGTGCAGTGTAATTTTGCAAAAACAAGAAATCAAGCTCAACAATCACTTTTAAAAACTCCATGTATTCTGCTACAGTTCAAAGCCACCAAGCAAGTGATTCATTATATTATATATGATAATTTCGTTTATTAATCTTCTACATTTACTCAGAGAGCCCTTCACCCACCTTCCCCCACCCCTAAAAAATTAGCTAGAATAAGAGCATTAACATGTGAAATGAACTCTACGTGTACTCAGTCAGCATCTCTCGTCACAGACTATCAAAATCTCAGAATATATCATTCACATGAAAGCATTGTTTGAAAAATAATATCAAGCTCTTGAACAACGTGGGTTCTGCAACAAATCGGCGCTGTTGGCGTACTGTATCTTCACATTTTCCTTTTTTGTTCTTCTGGATTGTAATTTTCTGATTTTTCAACGGAGAATATTGCTGGCCTATTTACCCCTCAGTCGGATGGTGAGAAGCACGAAATACAAAAGGAAATCGCAGAAAAACAATTATCATATAGTGTTCACAGCAAACTCTCTCTCTCTTTGCATCAAATTGAGTTCTTTCTCAATAGTTTGAGGATGGTTAAATTTGGGGAAGGGTTCTCTTGAATCAGGTCATTATGCAGCAAACTACTGAAAAAAAGTTGTTACCAAAGAAGATTGAAAAAGAACACTTTTCAATGTTTCATCTATAGATACAGTGTTTTCCTGTCAGTTTCTCAAACAAGTAACACCGCTGAACCCCCTCCCCCCCCCCCCTTGAGTCAAAATTTTCTGTAAATGTTTTGAGAAAATGCGTGCAAGCGATGCTTTTACAAAGGTGCAAATCGACAAGAATCTGTAGAAAAAATTGAATTAGCTTGCCACAAACTTCCGGAGGATATCTTCGGTTCCATTATCCCCTCTCATCCTCCATCCCAAAAAAAGTTTTCGAACTGCCATTGCCATGTAGGCACATAGTTCTATGGAAGGCATCTCTGTTGCGATGCAGTAGCAAAATCAGTGAGTAAGAGATAATTACAATGCTTTATGGACACAAGTGTAGCAACGAGGGGAACCGTTGGGATTCTTTGCTTAGGTTGCGGAAAATGAGACACAGCGCTGGAATGTCAGGTTCTTAAGCCACTAGGCAACGAATATGATATCTGTTTTTGAGCAAAAGGCAAAGCTTTCACTATGTGCTGGATTCGATCTTGAACTCATTTCTCTTTTCCAGCAAATTTCGCCCTTTTATTGTCCATATCCACATTTGAGCATTGTTAAACCAACAATCCATATAAATAAATTATTTCTCTAATTCGACAGAGTTTCATCAAGTGATATTGAGCTCCTCATCTGTTCCACTCCCTTTATGTTGATAACTACTCTATATATCTTAGCAAACTTGCGATCCTTTATGGCAGTCGATCGAAGCTATTGCTGCAGAAAAAATAGTATTAATAAAAGAGATCGTAATTTGCTCTCTCAGGGTTACGCCCTTTGAAAGGAGTTGTCTAGTTTTTCGATGTGAGAACACTGCAAATTGACATAGTGAGGCTCAGGGTCAAATTCTGCAAGAAGAGTAATCTAGTCAGTGAAAACAATCCAACGAGTTGCAACACTAAGAGTTGAAGTATGTCATAAAGGAAAGTAAGTTTATACGACTAACATTTTTTGGAATTGTGATCTCATATGTGACTAAAAACACTGTCTTCATCGCCTTTTGAAAGCGTTTATCAAAGTCAAGAACGACAGAATT